TCCGTAAGACATTAGCTTGCCCTTCCAGCAGCTTAATCTTTTTTTGAATCTATATATCTTCTATGCATTTCCATTCTTTGTTCGTTAACCGTCTATGATGGATCTGGATCCCGAGATAACTAAAAGGTAAGGATCCCATTTCACAACCGAACAAGTTTCTGTAATTGTCTTGTTCTTCTTTAGCTCTCCCAAAGCAGAACAGTTCGCTTTTATTGAAGTTGATTTTGAGCCTAGACAGTTGCTAAAAAAGGCATAGAATAAGCTTCATATTCCTAGCTTTTGCAAGATCGTGTTCCATGAAAATGACAGTATCATCCACGTATTGTAGGATGGAGACGTCTCCCTCTACGAGGTGAGGAACGAGACCTCCTACTTGGCTACTCTCTTTAGCCCGACTAATAAGTACTGCCAACATATCCGCTACAATGTTGAACAGCACATGAGACATGGAGTCTCCCTGCCGTAACCCCTTACGTGTCTGAAAATAATGACCTATGTCATCATTTACCTTTATCCCGATACTGCCTTTCTGTATGAATGAATCCACCTAAGATCTCCCGTCTTGGTTGAACCCCTTCATACGTAAGGCTTGCTAAAGGAAGGGCCATTTGACCTTATCATACGCTTTTTTAAAATCCACTTTGAAGTCAATCCCATCTAGTTTCTTCAGATGCAAAAATATTAGTGAGATATATTGCAAAAGCTATTTTCCTGCCGACTGTTAGTTAGCGCCAGGCACGTATGATTGCTTTTTTTTTCTTCGATCTTTCTTTTCTGATCGGCTCTGCTCTGTCATGTAAAAAGAGCTTCAAAAAATTAGTGCCACTGCTAGGATTCGAACACACAACCTGTTGGTCGTGGCCACGACTCATTACCAGCTGAGCTGACTACTTGTTGTGTTTCATGTGCGGGTTAATCTGTATTTCTACCTTAATAAATGAGAGCGAGAAAAAATGACCACAACGCCTTTGATGAGGAGACAAAACCATTTGCTCCAAGTTTTTTAAAGGGCCGGTGCAACGTGTTTTGTACTCCATTTGTCTCTTTTTTGTAGTGATGAATGTTTTCTAAAGAAATAAATGTTTCACTCCTATAGAATTCGAACAACGGTCTTCTCGTTTGTCATATCTCGGTAAATTCTTTTGTAATGAGATTGATAATTATATGTACCACAAACCTGATAGCTTATGTACAAATATCGTCGTAGGTTTTGTTTGACAAAAATATTCCTGCCGACTGTTCATTAGCGATAGGCACACACGCTTCGATTGTCGTTGGATGCGCATCGAACGATCCCGCGAAAGCCTCCCGAGCGCCACAGTTTCCTTTTGTTTTCTCTGTTGCATGCACGCACGCAAAAATTGGTGCGAACAAGAGAGGATTCGATCCTTGCACCACTAGTGAGCCAACTCAACTAGCCTACCACCTGACCTACGATCCCTTTCTTGAACAAAAGAAAGTAAATGGGCTATTTAACATGTCTCCTCTACTATGTATGCATAAAAATGAGTTAATTTAGTGTTCGATTTTTTCCGCGCTTAGGTACCCCGTTCCTGCTAACTTTACCGAAGGGGGGGGGATGATAAAATATCCTCCGTTAACTTTCGTGTGAATAACATGGTAAGTCAAATTTCATAGACCTGATAACTTATGTACCCCGGTCCTAAAAACTTTGTCGGCGAGGGTGAGGGTGGGGGAGTTGTTGAAGCATACCACGGTAACTTCTGTGCAAATAACATGATAACTCAAACATGTCGGACCTGATAACTTATGTACCCCGGTCCTGATAACTT